TGTCAAACTAGGTAACTTCTCTTCCTCTGTTGCTCCTCTCACCTGTGGCATCCCTCAAGGCTCGATATTGGCACCCTCCCTTTTTTCCCTGTGCATGCTTCCTCTGGGTTCCATTCTAAGAAGGCATGGGGTATCTTTTAATTTCTATGCTGATGATACCCAGATTTATTTACCTATTAAGAGAAATTATCCTTCAGCACTTAATACCTTACTAAGGTGCTTAGACGAGGTCAAAATCTGGCTAGCTCAAATTTTTTAACGTTAAATGAAGATAAAACAGAGGTGATTGTTTTCAGTCCTACTGATCATTCTCAGGCTACCAGCCTAGATCTGGGCAGCTTCAGATCTTCTCAGGTGTCCTTCTTGACGAGCCATTAAAATTGGACAAGCATATCTCATCTGTAATTGGTTCCAGTTTTTACCAACTCCGCTTGCTGTCTAAAATCAAACACTTTTTAAATGCTACGACGTTAGAGATGGCTGTCCACACTTTTATTACTTCACGATTAGATTACTGCAACTCCCTATATTGCGGTATTTCAAAGTCGCAAATTACTCGCCTACAATTGGTCCAAAACGCTGCTGCTAGATTTCTTCAATATAGTCGCGAATGTTAGTCGCATCACCCCAATACTGAGGGCCCTCCATTGGCTGCCTATTCAATTTAGAATCGATTTTAAAGTTCTCTTACTGGTGTATAAATCTTTAGATAACCAAGCCCCTAGTTATCTCTCAGAGCTGTTGCACTTTTATACTCCCACTAGAAGTCTAAGATCCAGTGATCAGAATCTCCTTTTAGTTCCTCAGTCCAGACTAAAATGTAGAGGGGAGTCTTATTACATTGTATTATGGTCTTGTTTATCTGACATTCCTTTGGTTTTAAATTCATGTTTTATTCTTTCTGTTTTATGTGTTTATGGTTTGATTTTAATGTACAGCATTTTGGTCAGTCTTGTGGCTGTTTTTAAATGTGGTTTATAAATAAATGAACTTGAACTTGATGCATAAAAAAAAATTAAAAATAAATAAAACATTGTAAATATTAATAAAATCTCATTCTAAATATTACAAACAAAATGTAAATGTTTAATAAAAAAATCTAATTCTAAATATTAATTCTAAATATGCTAAATAAATATTGCATTACAGTTAACAAAAATAAGATAAATATTCTAAGTACGGATATACGTATATAATCTGAGGAGCGGTGACTCACAGGCAGTGCACGACGGTGCGTCCCTCTCCTCCGTCGTACTCCTCCTGCCATTTGTCCACCTGTCGGATGAGTTTGAGGAAGGAGCGTTTGGAGACGGGAGTGTCGCGGTACATCGGCCAGCCCAGAAACTGGAACTGCTGCACCATCCGGTACCCATCCTGCGGCTGCACGCAAACCACACGTTCATGACACTCAAACAGCCGACTCTCGCGTAAGTGTGCAATGTAAGCGAGCGTTTACTCACCCGTGCCGCGTTATAGATGCGGAAGATCCTGCTGATGATGTCCTCCTCCAGATCCGCAGACACAAACTCCACCTGGATGGGTCCGTGCCGATGGACGCCGTTCTCTGGCCAGTACTGTGGACACAACTGGACACAAAACACACCAATCACACACATCAACATCACACATGTCAATTCAGTGGCCAGGTTCCATGGCTGATCAGTTTCACTAGGTCAAATTTTTCTAAAACAGCATGTCTATACTGATTTACCAGCTAGACCAGCAATTAAACAGGGTAAACCAACCTAGACCAGCAACTGACCAGTATAAACCAACCTAGACCAGCAACTGACCAGTATAAACCAACCTAGACCAGCAACTGACCAGTATAAACCAGCTTAGACCAGCAACTGACCAGTATAAACCAGCTTAGACCAGCAAATGACCAGTATAAACCAGCCTAGACCAGCAACTGACTAGGATAAACCAGCTTAGATCAGCAAATGATCAGCATAAACCAGCCTAGACCAGCACCTGACTAGTATAAACCAGCCTAGACCAGCACCTGACCAGTATAAACCAGCCTAGACCAGCAACTGACCAGGATAAACCAGCTTAGACCAGCAACTTAGTATTGTCATAATCTTTCATCTGAAATTACTTTTTCATCACAGGTTATTGTATAATGTTCACTAACAGCCAAATAGCAATTTACACATTGCTTGATCAAACTCAAAAATAAAAATAAATAACTTAATAATTAAACCATAAAAATAAACCATAAAAATAAAAAAATAATTTACAAATACAAACAATCAAAATAATCACTTTAAAATAAAACAAGTAAAATAAAACGCTTATTAATAATGAAATCATAAAATTGTACAACTAAAATAATTGTAAAACAAAAACAATAAAAAACAAATAACATTAATACGTAAATCATAAAAATAAACAACAAAAATAAAATAAATAATTGAAAAATAAAAACAATCAATATAAACAATGTTTATACATTAAAAAAAAATGTTTTGTTGTTGTTTACCTGCATGTCATGTGACAATTAACTGATATCAGAGAACTGTGAACCATGCAAATGTGTTGTTAAATTACTCAAATATTAACAAAATGTCATGGAGGCTTTCAGTCCAAGCGATTGTTCAACTGACAGAAACACTTGGGAACTCCTGATTAATTTGATGTCAGAGCAGTGCATGTGTGACAGACGCATCTGCAGCAGGAGTCTGCGCTGCTGCGCGTCTCTGATCCAGACGGCCGTGTGCAGGTGTGTGTGTGTGTGTGTGTGTGTGTGTGTGTGTGTGTCACCTGCGCGGGATCCACGTCGTTCAGCATCACTATAGACGTGCAGTGATAGTCCAGCGCCAGCCTCCAGAAGTCTTTGACGGTGTTGGGCAGAGGATGCTGGGTAACGATGAACGCAGACGGCTGCTTGTAGCTCTGTGAAGATGAAGATGAAGAGAGGAACACATCTTATTTCCGTCTGACTGTCTGCTTGACTAATAGTGTGGAGAAGTTTAGCGTTGAGCTGCGTGTTTTATTACCGCCGCCGGCGCTTCCATTTACTGTAATGAAAACAAATGCACTGTCGCGTGTTTTACAAACAAACCCGTCCCAGTCAATCGTGTTACTGCGTTTGTTTTTTGTTCGTTCTCTGTTATGGATCGCTTTTAGCTATTTTCCTGACAATGAAATGAATCAATTCCATCTGTTTTTGAATTATTTTCAACAAGCACATAATCGTGTGTGCTGCGGTTCACATCCATCAGAGACACCGTCGCTTCAGACGCACAAAAACGAGCGGTTATTATAGACACGGATGCAATTAATAATTAATAAAATCATAAATGTGGAAAATTTACATAATTTTAAAATAAAAATAATTAAAACTAATTAAAATCATAAAAATATATAATACAAAATGTATAAAAGTTAAAAAAAGCAATTTTAACAATAATAATTCATCATTTTTAAATAAAACAAAGTAAAACACTAAAAAAAATTAGTAAAAAAAAATAATTATAATAATTGAAATAAAACATTTAATAGTGAATTAAATCATAAAAACTCTATAATAATTAATAATAAACTGTATCATAAAAATGTGAAAAAAATAAATAAAGAAAAAATAAAATAAATCCATATAAAACACAAAGTACTAATGATTAAGTCATAAAAATGTAAAAAAAACAATCAATCAAAAAAATTAATAAATAGTTAAATAATATAAAATGAAAATAAATCATTCTAAAATAGAAACAACTGAATCAAACATTTATTATTTAATGAATTAATAATAATTAAATCAGATCATAAAAAATATATAATAATGAAAAATTTGAAAATGTGAAATGACAATAATATTAAAATAAAATCAATCAATAAAATAAAAGCACTAATAAAAAATAAAACTATAAAAAACAATAAAAACAACAAATAAATAACTTAATAACATTAAATTAATTAATTAAACTTATGTTAAGCGCCGCAGGTAAGGGTCACTAGGTTAAGCGCCGCAGGTAACGGTCACTAGGTTAAGCGCCGCAGGTAAGGGTCACTAGGTTAAGCGCCGCAGGTAACGGTCACTAGGTTAAGCGCCGCAGGTAACGGTCACTAGGTTAAGCGCCGCAGGTAACGGTCACTAGGTTAAGCGCCGCAGGTAAGGGTCACTAGGTTAAGCGCCGCAGGTAAGGGTCACTAGGTTAAGCACTGTAGTTAACAGTCACTAGGTTAAGCGCTCCAAGTAACGGTCTCTAGGTTAAGAGGTGAGGTAACGGTCACTAGGTTAAGATCTGAGGTGTGTGCGAGCTGCCGTACGTCCATGAGCGCGGCGTTGATGTAGTTGCTGCTCTCTCCGTCGATGGTGATGAGGAAGGGCAGGCAGCGGTCCGGAGGAAGAACGTCCATACAGCGGTTCTTCTCATGGTTCCGCGGCAGCAGCGCGATGCTGCAGTCTTCCACCCGCAGCGTGGGCGTCACCATGTTTAACGTCTGCCAAAGAAAAACACAAATCAAACTCATGCACACACTAACATCACTATATTCTATTGATTTATTTTATTATTTAATTTATTTTGTTATTCAATGTATTTACAGCTATATGTAATATTTTAATTCACTGACTCTGAACTCCTCTTTGATCTGGCTGGAGTTGGTCTGCGGGTCCAAGCGGTTCATGTCGTAATACACCGAGCGAAGCTGATTGGCCGGGATCGTGGTGTCGCCACAAAGACACGCCTCCAATATGGCATCATGGATAAACACATACTGCTCCTGAAATATCAGCATATCAAAAACAGATCAATACAACCATATCAATCACAGCTCACTGATATCATTTGATGTGGCGATAGATTGGTGTTTTATTTTGGTTAACATGTCAGTTTTTTCTATATATTTTGTTATTATTTTTTCAGTTTTCATTTCAAATTTTTTATTATTATTATTTTTTAGTAATTTTGTCATGTGCTTTTGTCATTTTTGTTCTTTTTAAATATTACTACAGGTTTTAGTTCAGTTTCAGTTTTAATTTATTTCCAATTAATAAAACTAATTAATATTTAGTCCAGTTAAATGTATCAATTATTCAAATGTATCAAATTATTCACACTTTTATGGTCAGAACAGATGCATCAGGACATAATCGACTGTGTTTTCAGCTTTCTCCTCGATGTCTCTGTCCTGTGTGTCCACGTGCGGACCGGTCATCTCTCGATCGCAGACGGCGGTCTGACAGCTTGACGTAAATCATTCATGAAGTGACATTTTAAATATGCCTGCGGTCGCCGCTCCTCAGAAAGTCCTTGACCGAAGCTGACGGTCAGATAAGGTCTCAGGCTATACAATCATAGTTAGATATGAGTGCTTGTTTCTTTTGTCTATATTGAAAATTCATGTCAAGAAAAAAGTTCTAAAATATGTCTGAGTGGGCGGGGCTGGAGAGAGAGTCAGCGTTTGATTGGCTGTGGCTGATGCTAAGATGTTTGTGATTGGTTACCTCTGTCTGCACCATGTTGATATAATTAAATTAGAATTATTTAAAAGGATTGTTTATTATTTATATAGTGTACATATATAAAACAGTATATAACATTTAAATTGTATCTATCATTTATATTTTTACATAATTCATATATTTTATTATAATGTACGTGTTTTTAAGTATACAAATTTTAAAAAATATACACAACTTATATAAATCATTAAATATTTTTCAAACGTTAATATTTATAATTATCATTATATATATATATAAGTAATTTTAATTATACAATATAAACATATATATTTACATGTAACTATAATTTAGAATTATTTTAAATAATATTTTAAAATAATATTTAAAATATCAAAATATCAAAAAATGAAAACAAAATATACTATATATTCTGTCTCTCTCTATATAACAAATAATAAAAATAATTTCAATTATACAATATAAATGTATATATTATACATTTAAACTGTATCTATGAATTATAATTATTTTGTAATATTTTTAAAGTATTTCTTTAATTATTATGTATACAGAAAAAAAAAAAAAAAAAAAAAAACTATAAATGCTATGCAAAGTTTGTCTGAGAGGGCGAGGCTGCAGTGAGAGGCAGCGTGTGATTGGCTGCGGCTGAAATGAGGATGTCTGTGATTGGTTACCTCCGTCTGCACCATGTTGACCCTGCGGGAGCGCAGTTCTCTCACGCAGTTGTAAATGTCCACGACTCCTTCTCGCTCCGCCATGTCCAGCATGATGTCGATCACAATGAAGCAGCCGGTGCGTCCCGCTCCAGCGCTGAGGACCAAACAACAGCTGTTATTACTACTCGAAGGTACAAATATGTACCTATTAGGGGTAAAAAGGTACAAATACTTTTCTTAGAGTGTAGCATACTAACCAACTACTAATACACTGCATAAAAATATAATTGTTCAGAATGTGTAGTTTACTAGCTAACCGACCTTCCTTTAGCAGCTTCCCCTGAAAGTTAGTTGGCAATACTGCGATTCTGTGAGGAAGAGCCTGATGTTCACCTGCAGTGGATGACCATCGGGCCAGCGTTAGCTGGACTCTTGGCTTTGACCCGGCGGACGAAGCCCAGCAGCCCTGTGGCGTGATACGGGACGCCGTGATCCGGCCAGCCGGTGAAATGAAACTGACGGATCTCCCGGATCTCATGAGCTCCTCGCTGGAGACCACAAACACACAAACAGCACATTTACAGACATGACATCAGAATGACAGATGACCAAAAAAAAAAAAAAAGTCCAAAGAACAATTCTATATCTATCTATCTGTATGTCTGTATGTCTGTATGTCTCTTTGTCTGTATGTCTGTCTGTCTCTCTGTCTGTCTGTCTGTCTGTCTCTCTGTCTCTTTGTCTGTATGTCGGTCTGTCTCTCTCTGTCTGTCTCTCTGTCTGTATGTCTGTCTGTCTCTCTGTCGGTCTGTCTGTCTCTTTGTCTGTATGTCTGTCGGTCTGTCTGTCGGTCGGTCTGTCTGTCTCTCTGTCTGCATGTCTGTCGGTCGGTCTGTCTCTGTCTGTATGTCTGTCTGTCTGCATGTCTGTCGGTCGGTCTGTCTCTGTAAAGAACAATTCTATATCTATCTATCTATATGTCTGTATGTCTGTCTGTCTCTTTGTCTGTATGTCTGTCTGTCTCTCTGTCTCTTTGTCTGTATGTCGGTCTGTCTCTCTCTGTCTGTCTCTCTGTCTGTATGTCTGTCTGTCTCTCTGTCGGTCTGTCTGTCTCTTTGTCTGTATGTCTGTCGGTCTGTCTGTCGGTCGGTCTGTCTGTCTCTCTGTCTGCATGTCTGTCGGTCGGTCTGTCTGTCGGTCGGTCTGTCTCTGTCTGTCTGCATGTCTGTCGGTCTGTTTGTCTCTGTCTGGATGTCTGTCTGTCTCTGTCTGCATGTCTGTCGGTCGGTCGGTCTGTCTCTCTGTCTGCATGTCTGTCTGTCGGTCTGTCTGCATGTCTGTCGGTCGGTCTGTCTCTGTCTGTCTGTCTCTCTGTCTGCATGTCGGTCGGTCGGTCTGTCTCTGTCTGTCTGTCTCTGTCTGCATGTCTGTCTGTCTCTCTGTCTGCATGTCTGTCGGTCGGTCTGTCTCTGTCTGTCTGTCTCTCTGTGTGCAT